AGTTTTCATTTTTTTTTCATATTCATGATCTCCATGTTAAAGATTATATATTCTCTAAAAATTAGGTTTAAAATATATATATATTGCCAAGTCCATATTTCTACAATATGTGGGCTGGCCGCATGCTAACCGCGTCCCCCCTCTCTCTTTGATGGCTGTGCTTCTTATATAGGGTTGAAATTGAGGGGAGTGGGAAGACTTGGAGACAGGATCAAAGGATAAGACTGAAGCACGTGGATACAGGTGGCTACTTGCACAGTCACGATAAGAAGTACACTCGAATAGCTGGTGGTCAACAAGAGGTGAGAATGGAATAAGCAAATACCCAGTTTGGCAGTTGTAACTTTCCCTGCTTATTTTGGGAATCCATTTTCCTGGTGATTTATTTTTCTTTTTTGGGTGGCAACTCTTTTCAGGTGTGTGGCGTCAAAGAAAAACGTCCCGACAATGTTTGGTTGGCTGCTGAGGGTGTTTACCTTCCTATTTCAGGAAACAGTAGTTAACTTTTGTGGTGGCTCTCTCCATTATATTTGTAACTCAGTTCAGGTAGGGTGTCTCCAGGTATAACATCTTAGTGTGGTCAGAGAATGATCCATTTTTACATGATATCATCCTTCTGTATGACCCATTATGGGTGGGGTAATTGTCACAGTTTTGGTAACATGCTCTCTCTCTCTCTCACGCGTGCACACACGCGTGTATCTTACCATGCATGCAAACTTGTGTTGAAAGTTGAAGCACACTTGCAAGTTAATAGCCCTTAATGACTCCCATTCTTCATTGTACTCTCATCTTAAGGGTGTTTCAGGATATTTTTATGTTGGGAGAGTACAGGCTCTACCTCAACTATTGTAAGATCAAGTGCTTTTTTATTGTAGATAGAGGAGTTGTTTCTTGGTTCACTTGCAGCAGCAGATCTAGGTTCCATTTTGAGAGAGGGAGAGAGAGTTGCATAGGAGTTTAGGTGAAAGGGGAAAAGAGGGGAGATTGAGAGATAAAGCTCACGGTTCTTTAATGGAGGGGTTTTTTGATGGAGGAAAAGGGTTTAATGGATTTACGCGCTCACTTCCTATGCTATTAATTTCCCATTCATTTCTCTTGTACTATTCTCTCTCCAAAAAAAACTAAATACAAGGATGGAGATAGGAGATGATCGTGGGATATGGCAGTTCTTGTGCCATTGTTGTTTGTAGACAGTAACCTTGTGGAAGATACTAGGTGTAGAACTAGTGCAGTGGTGGTGGGTTCATTCTCTCCACCATCAAATGATATTTTTTGGCTTGGTTGATTGGGCAAAAAGGGCATGGGGTCTCTTATCAGTCTGAAGTTCGATAGTTGGGAGACAACAAAGTGTTATTTTTTCTTAAATTTGTGGATGAAGTTAATTTTGCCCTCTCTCTAGATTCACTAGGATCCACGGTAAACTTTTGTCTCTAGATGCTTGGCGGCCCTCAATCCATGGCTTGTTTGCTGAAAAGGAATGTGTCTGGGTACGGTTTTGGGGTATCTCACTACATGCATGGAAACTTGCTATCTTCCAGAAACTGACTAATGTGTGTGGGGTACTGTGAGGTTGATTGGAATTTGTTGAAGGTGGCTCCAATGGATTTTGTTTGTGTCAAGGTGTTGCGTGTGGTGAAGAATCCCTTTTCTTTTAGGATTCACCTGATGATTGGCACAAATATTTTTTTGATCGTCTCTGTGATAGAAGAAAAATGCCCAACCCCTGAAAAGATAACCCCAACCCGTAGCTTATGCGATGAGGGGTGGACGGTGGTTGATCATAAAAAGAAAAAGGAGGCGATCAATGGTGATGGCCCGTCTATTCAGAACCAGAGTCAGTACCAGGTTCCACGGTTGAGGAGCACACGTGGAGTTTTTTTAGAAACCAAGTGTTTGAAATTAAAAAAGAGATGGATACCGGTAGGCCGCTGTCTTAGCAATTTTTTTGAATATCTCTATTCATCTCCTATCTTGGTGGAAGGAAAGCAATCCTCTACATGTGCATTTGTTCTCGAGGGTCCACTGAAGTTGTTGAGGGTTGAAAGAGGGTTGCAAGAAGGAGATAGCTTGGCAATGGTGGAAATAGGCTGGGAGCAGCCGATCGGGATGCTCCCTCAGCCCTGCTCCTCCACTTTGTTAGTGTTGGGGAATTTGTAGGCTTGGAGATGATGACTGATGGAGTAGGGGACTCTTCTGTGACCCTTGTTGTTGGAAGCCCGATCCTAGTATCTGAAGATCCACAAGAGGTCCTTATTCCATCTGTTGGTTTGGTTGATGATAGTGCTGAGGATGATCTTTTGTCATCCTTAATTGATGATTGCAGGCTCTCCTTTGAAGCCCCTCTTGCTAAGGAGAGAATGAAGTTGGTGAAGGAGGCCAAACTGGAGGCAGGGAAAACTTAGCCATCGATGCCTGTCAAGAATGTCTGTACGAAAAAGGAGAACCGTGCTGTAAGGTTCTCAACACATCTAGCTGCTAGGGGCCCAAGGACCATGCTTGTGCAAGGAATCAGAATTCAAGAGGACCATGTGAAAGAATTTAACAGCCAGTTTTCAAGCGACAACCAAGATGAATTTCCTCCTCATGTTGCTGGTGATGACTCTGGTCCCTTTGAGGAAGGGCCATGTTCTACTTCTCACTCTTAATGATAGTTCTTTCATGGAATGTTAGAGGTTTGGGAGAAACCAGACGAAAAAGTGATATTAAACTGTTAGTAAGGAAATATAAACCTGATATTGTAATCTTGCAAGAAACTAAATCTGATGTTCCAAATTTTGCTTTGATTAAGGATATTTGGGGTCATGGGGCAGTTAAATTTGAGAGTGTGGATGCTATAGGGGCCTCAGGTGAGCTCTGGAGTTTATGGGATTTCCTCTCTTTTCATTGTTTGAGTGTGGAGAGAAGGGATATGTTTGTGACTATCTTTTTACAGGGGCCGACTTTTGGTAATTCTTGGGGTATTGTTAACGTTTATAGCCCTGTGATACTTTCGCTCAAAGAAGCCTTTCTTAATGATCTTGGTGATGTCTGGCTTGCTTATGATGTGTTAATTTGTTTTGGTGGTGACTTTAACTTCATTCGTTGGCCAGATGAGGCCTTGTTGAATATTGCTATTCGATGCGATTGTTTAATTCCTTTATTGAGTGACATCGGCTCTATGATTTGCCCCTCGCAGGGTCTAAATTTTATTTGGTCTATTAACAATGCTAATTGTCTAGTTATGTCCAAGCTTGATCGTTTTTTGATGACTGAGAATTGGGTGAAAGCTTTTCCTCTGGCAACAGTCAAAGCATTGCTGGGACTTTCATCTGATGACATTCCGCTATTACTTAATACTATCTTAAGTAATTATGGGAGAAAGCCTTTTAGATTGGAGTTGGCTTGGTTGGATGAAATGGGTGTTGCCGATTTGATCAAATTCACTTGGGAGAATTCTATTAGCTTTAGGTCAATGGATTTCTAGCTTCATAAAAAGCTTCTCAATGTTAAAAATAAATTGTGAAGTTGGAGATCTGAGAACTGCTACTCAATCAAAACTAAAATTGACAATATCTTGGATGACTTACAGAGATGGGATCAGGACATTCAACAAATGAGCTTTATATATGAGGCTGCTGTTGGGTTGAGAAACAAGTTGTTGTCGTCTTTGGATGCCTTTAATAGAGCTGAGGAGATCTACTGGAAACAGAGGTCCAGGGTAAAATGGTTAAAAGAAGGTGACTGTAATACCAAGTTTTTTCATGCTATTGCTAGTGCACGTAAGAGACATAATGACTTGTTTGGTCTCCTGGTCTCGGTTGTGGCTGAAGATGATAATACAGCTTGGGAAAACAATGTCTTGGCTCACTTCCATAAAGCTTTCTCTTTTGAAATCCCCTTCAAGCCTAATCTGAACAGACTGGCCTTTCTTACTATCCCTTCTTCTATTGCTGACAGTTTGGAAAAAGAGGTTTCGACGGATGAGTTTAAGCTAGCAGTGTTCAAACTCCTTGGAGATAAGGCCCCAGGACCAGATGGCTTCTCCTTGGCATTCTTTAAGAGATTTTGGCCGGTGGTTAAACTAGAGTTATTGAAGATGGTGAGGGAGTTTATGACAACTGGGGAGTTTCTTAAAAGGGTAAATGCCACTTTTATTGCTTTAACTCTAAAAATGTTTGTTATATCTACTTTATCAGATATTAGACCTATCAGCCTTCTCACTAGTCTTTATAAAATTGTAGCTAAAATCCTTCTTGAAAGGCTGAAAACAGTTTTCCCTATGCTCATCTCGGATACACAGTTGGCCTTTATTCAAAGTAGGTTGATTTCAGACAGTGTTTTAATTGCTCAAGAGTGTATCCACTCTAGATTGATAAGCAAAGAACCGGGGGTATTGATGAAACTGGATTTGGAGAAAGCCTATGACAAAGTGGAATAATGCATATTCTTAAAGATTATGAAACAAATGGGTTTTGGACATAGATGGAGAAGCTGGATCTTTGGTTGTCTTTCAACGACGTACTTTTATGTTCTCATTAATGGAAGCCTAAAAGGCTTCTTTAGGGCATCTAGGGGTTTAAGACAGGGCGACCCTTTTTCACCCTTTCTATTTATTTTGTATGCTGAATGTTTTAGTAAAAATGATATGTAAAATTGTGGAGAGGGTATTTTCAGGCTTTAATGTATCTCATAATAATCTCCGAAATTTCCCACCTTCAATATGTTAATGATACATTGCTCTTTTGTGATGCTAGTAGAGAACAAGTTGATAGTATTGAGAGGTTTTTTATCTGCTATGAGGTGTTAATGGGGTTAAAAGTTAATTTAGGAAAACGACTATGATTGGGGTTAATTGTGACGAGGATATGGTTAGAGACCTTGCTTTGAGGTTTGGATGTAGTGGAAAAATTCCCCTTTAAGTACTTGGGTTTGCCCATATCAGATGGAAACATACCGGTTGCTGCTTGGGACAGTGTCATTCAAAGGGTATAATTAAAGCTGGAGTTGTAGAAGCCTAAGTACCTATCCTTGGGAGGTCGAGTTACTTTATTCAACTATTGTTTAACAAACCTTCCAATATATCAAATGTTTTTGTTGCGTATGCCGAGGGCTGTGACAAAACGTATCGAATGTATGATGCGCAATTTTTTACGGGGCTTTTTCGGTGATGAGAGGAAATATCACCTCATTCAGTGGGATAAGGTTTGCACACCAAAGAGAGAAGGTGGTTTAGGGGTGAGGAGAATGAAGTGTTGCTTTGTAAGTAGTGGTGGTGAAGGCTTACATGCAAAGAACAACTATGGTGCAAAGTACTCTTATCAAAGTACGGAGTCGATAATTTTGGTATGTGGATTTGCAGAAGAGAGGGTAGGAAAAGTACGTCTCCTTTATGGAGAGATATTTTTGCCCGAAGATAGATAGTTGATCGCAACACTCGATGGTTGGTGGGTGCGGGTACAATGGTTTTGTTATGGCATCACAAATGGTTGGGAGATGAGCCTTTGAAATATGTTTTTCCCCTTTTGTATGAAAATGGTCAACTTGCCGTAGGCAACGGTAGCAGATGTGATGGAGTTTAGAAGCGATAAGATTAGCTGGAATATCATTTTTCCTTATGATAGAATTCATAGTCATATCTACCTTCTGTTTGTTAATATGTTACGAGAATTTGAGCTTACTTTTATTACGCAACATAATGAGGATGAAGTGGTGTGGGAGATTGAAAATGATGGCCAATTTTTGGTTAAGTCTGTCTATAATCTTCTGTTCTTTGATAGGGTTCGTTGGACTCTGCCAAAGATTTCGCAGATATGAAGATGGTCTATTCCACATACAGTTCAAGTATTCATTTGGTTAGCTGCCCAAGACAAAATTTTAACTGTTGATAACTTGATTAAGAGAGGAAAGATTATCACTAATGTGCGTCTCATGTGCAAGGTAGATGGCGAGAGTGGGCCACACTTGTTTATTCATTGCTTGTTTATATCCAGAATTTAGTGGTGGTGTTTTTAGTTGTTGGGCTTTAACCTAACCCTACCACAATTTGTCTTAGACTTGATAACCCAACTTGATGTGCCTCTACCGAAGATTGAGAATTCTATTTAGAAGATTCTTTAAGGTGTTATTTTGTAGGAAGTATGGTTGGAGAGAAACAGAAGAACGTTTGAAGGAAGAGTTTGTAGCTTTGACATAGTGTTAAATAAAATCAAACTTTTCCTATGGTCATGGTTGTCGGTGACTGAGGACGGCTGGGGCATGTCAAGGTTGATGCCATGATTAACCTTTTCAACCTCTTTTTTTTGGATGTGCCAAAGATCAGACCATGCCTCAGATGGAAATTACCAGATCGAGGAGTGCTAAAATTAAACTTTGATGGAAGCTTGTTGGGTAGCCTAGGCTCAACAGGTTTTGGAGGAGCTATCCGAGATTGCCAAGGTCAGGTTATTCTTGCTTTTGTTGGGCCGTGTGGAGTTACCACGGCTAACCGGATTGAAATGCTCGTGATTCTTCATGGTCTGAAATTATTACTGGCAAGAAATTATGTGGGAGGTATCATCATAGAAGGAGACTCGATGAATGTGGTTAAATGGTGTAAAAAAGAGCAATGTGTGCTCTGGAAATTCAAGTGGATCGGGATTCAAATCTTTGAGCTTCTATCCTCTCTGACCTGCTCCTTGCAACATGTATATGGGGGGGCCAGTGATTTGGCTTATTCTTTAGCTAAAAAAGGTACCTATCTTGCTACTTTTGTTTCCTCTGCTGATATCGCTGCAATCTTGTAATTCCGCTTATTATCAACAAATATTGAATTTTGTCATAAAAAGCCTAACACTATGGGATATTTTAGAATTATTTTACAATAATCAATAATACTACTTAAAATGTTATTTGAAACGGTATTTTGGGACAATGCAATTTATCTAGTTAATTTTATAATGCTTGAAATTTTACCGTGGACTACGTTCCAGCCCTGTCTACACATTGCCTGTCGCCTCCTTGTGCACAGGCCACCCTCAGTGGGTTGTCCCCCTCAGCTGCGGGGGCCATTATTTGTAAATTTTGTGCCCTTTAATGCAAAGTTTTAATATATTTTTTTAAGAGAAATTATGCGTTAAAATTCAAAATTTATTTGAAATAAACAATTTAAAAAATGTAAAGATTTTATAAGGAGCTAACTTGTAAAGTACTAACCCTGGCAATGGGCAGCATGAGCCCAGCCCTGGTCCCTGTAGGGCTAGCTGTAGCCTTGCCTGGATCGCGCTGATGAAGCCCTAGCCAAATTATGTGAGAAAAACACTGTTTGAGAAAAAGGAAAGAAAATTGTCAATTGGCAGCTCTATCAGGTTGGCTTTTATTTGACTATTTTATTGTCGGGTTTTTATTTAACAACTTGAAATTTTCAGATTGGCCGTTGAAATTTATTTCCTTGTGAAAGTTTTAAAAGACACAAATTGTTGAATTTATAAAGGAAAAAGTTTATATAAGGTTGCAACCTTAAAATGTAGAATTTTAGATGCACCTAAAAAATCCATATAAAAAGGTTGCTTTAATTTTTTTTTTTTTTTTTTTGACAAATGTTACGACTTTTTATTGATAATTAAGAAAAAAAAATTACATCATCGAAAATAACAAGAGAAAGGAGCGAAACACCACCCTTTGCCAGTGTATAAGCCAACCCATTTGCCTCACGGTAAACATGAGAGAAAGAGACAACTAATGCGTTGGTCCAATCCATCACTTGCAACCAAAGATATCTTAATTCCCAAGGGACTCTTTGCTCCTTCTTACACCATTTAATCACATTTAAATAATCTCTTTCAATCAAAGCATTCTAACTCAGGTTACGATAAGTGAAGATTAGAATCCCTCCCAATAAAGCACTCAATTCAGCGATGTTGGCAGTCTTCACACTTAAAGGACCAACATAAGAAAAAAGGACATTACTCAAACTATCTCGAAGCACTCAACAAATACCAGCTGGTCTAGGACTACCAAGAGAACTGCCATCAATAAATAAAGAGGTGTGGTCCCGATTCCCCATCACTCTTACAAAGAAGACAAACATTGGGCAAAATTTTCCCTTTTAATAAGATTATCAATAGTTAGTTCAAAGCTGCCAGACAAATAAAGAAATGAACCTTAAGAGGGATGGGCCACTTCCATACCTGTACTACCGGAGGATATGACCATCTCAATTAACAAGACTTAATTGAGAACCTTTCATCACCCTCAATCTCCCAAACTACTTCATCCTTAGCATTTGACAAAATATAAACAGATCCAGTAATTCCATCAAAGAACACCATTGGCAAAAAACCGCACTGTTTAAACGAGAATACGGCAATGGTAAATTCCAAGAAATTTGAATTCCCCTCTTCTCAACTGCCTCACATACCAACAAATTAGGATTAACAACAATAGCAAATAAATCAGGGAACAATAATTCCCCAATCCATTTGTGGTGCCAAAAAGCCACTCGTCCACCACCTCCAATGTTCCATCTAAAATAACCCGAAATCATCTGTTTGCAAGAGAAGATATCCCTCCATACAGACGATATACCGTTGCCCCTCCCACCCCCAAGCCAAAGATCGAATCTGTCCATCCCATATTGGCGTAGAGAACTTTGCACCAAAGCCGATCTTTAAGATGAAAGTTGCGCCACCACCATTTACATAATAAAGCCTGGTTAACCAATATGATACTCCTAATACCCAAACCACCCTCACGTTTAGGGGTACAGACTCTATCACGCCTTAAACGATGGAATTTCCTTTGTTCAGCATTGGAACCCCACAAAAAATTCCGTATCATACGATCAATTTTTTGTGCAACAGAGACATGCATATTGATTAAAGACATTGGGTACACTGGAAGATTGAATAAACAAGATTGCAACAACGTCACCCGACCACCCAAAGAGAGGTACTTATGCTTCTAAAGATCTAATTTCATTTGAATTCTTTCAAGCACTATGTTCAAATTGCAATGATAAGTCTAGTATCAGAGATAGGGAGACCCAGATAGGAGATAGGGAAAGAGCCAATCTTACAGCCCAAGACCTCTGTCAACTCACCATCAAATTTTCATCACAATTGATACCAATCACAGAAGATTTATGAAAATTTACTTTAAGGCCGAGCGTAACTTCACAAATTTCCAAGAATATAGCAATATTAAAGACTTGGCATGGCTCAGCATCACAAAAAATCAAAGTATCATTAGCATATTACAAATGTGAAATAATCAGGTCAGAATTTGAGATTTTAAAACTGCAAAATGATCCAATCCCTCCACTCTGTTCAATATCAGGTTGAAACACTCTGCATAAACTGTAAATAAAAAAGTGGACAAGGGATCGCTCTTGCGTAATCCTCTAGACGCATTGAAAACGCTAATAGGAAGAGGATCAAAAAGTGTGCAGAAGAGAGACAACCA